CGGACGTGATTTGATCTTTGTTCTTGGTGAGCAATTTCCCAAAAGTTCCAAGGGCTTTTTCATCCTGATAATTCATCATTGAACTTTTAATCCCCATTGCTTCCAATTTCCATGTCCGTTCAATCTGCTCCAAGTGGACTTGAGACTCCTTTGTTATGTTCCCAGTTGTTTGAAATTTATAAGACTCATCATTTCTGTTTCTTGTATCACCACTGTCTTGCGTCACCTTCCGTTTGCCGCCTTCGACCACCCCTATTTCTATTTCCATAATCATCCATCCTGATGGGTGCTTTCTGGAATTACGAATGACTAATTCTGCAATTCCTTCTACGCCTAATAATCTGGTTTTCCCCATTACCTTCAACTAGTTTCTCACTTCCATTGTTTATCACATAAGCATGCGTTCGAGTATTGAATCAACAATGTACGTCTGGATATTCTTCACATTTCCGGACAGCGTTTGAACTCCGAAAGCCATCTTTCGGCTTCCATATTTCTTTGTGCCTACCGTTCCTGTTAATAACATTCTCACACTCGGTGATGTTTGTTTCAGATTTAATTTGGCTACCATTGGTTCTAGAACATAATTACAATCACTTCCTGTATCAAAGAAAACTAAGAGCTCTGCTGTTTTTCTTGGTTCACCTGGATTAATTAGCCTTACTTCTTTACACATGATGCACGTTTCCCGAATGCTATCACCCGCTACCGTGGCCGCTACTGTTTTTGGGCATATGTTTGCTTCTACACCATTTTTGAAATTCTTGCTTTGCTTCTTCATTTCGCTGCGTTTCCTACACAAAGCGATATCGTGGCCAGATCCGCAATAAAAACATTTTATTCTCACACATGTTTCGCATGTTTCCTTTGAGTGGTCGTCTTTCAAGCATAATTCACGAAGTTTTAATTTCTTTAACCTTTCCACCCTTTCATCAACAGTGGAGTATGTTCACATCTGTCCTTCCACTGGTTACTTTCACAAAAAAAAAACCCGGTAATCGACTTCCCTCTTTCTTTTGTGGCATTCTGCTGGGATTTATTCTCTCCTTCGCTGCTGAGGAAACTGATGCTCCCTTTCCAATTCGTGGATCTTGTTCCATTGGATCTTGCTCGTTGCATCTTTGTCCTGTCTATTAAGCTTCCCATCTTTTCCGGTGGTTTCACTTCAGATCCTTCTTCGATCCTCATCTTTTCCTTTAGGTATTTGACAGTGTCATTGTCCATTCTGAGTCCCTGTGTTTCTTTCTCAGGTCCTTAGCCGTGCCTTCTGGCATTCTATCAGTTACCATCACGTCCAGCCATATCGTTTCCATGTTTTCTTCCGACCCTTTTAGTTGCGAAGTAAGTCCAAAAGCTCCATTATCACTCCGAACAATTATTTAAACTTCGAACTCTTTCCAAACTTCTATATGGTTCCTTCTTTCTTTGTTTTTTTATCGCCATATCGTCAATACACTCTCTAAAGCCAACAGGCAATTTTCTTCATTTAATATGAAGTCACTGATTTGTTCTCTTGCTTCTCCTTTCATACTGTTTAACAGAGGCATGAATTTCTGTACAGGCTCTAAATCAATTCTCTTGTAAGTTGATTCTTCAAACTGGCTAATAAACCGGGCCGACATTCCCGGGGTACCAGCGAATTCTACTAGATTTAAAGTAGATTTAAAGTCGGTGGTTTACTGGTCGTGATTGTCTTTTCAGTTAAATCTTCTTTTGCCCTTCTATTGCTGCTAGTTTATGATCTATCTTCCCACACTTCATTAACGTCTATGTTCCACTTATTCGATTTAGTTTGGTAAGAAGTGAAGCTCTTTCACAACAAATCATAGTCCCTTTGTCAAATAGACAGTCTTCCTCATACAAGTAATCGTAAAACGCAACCTTATCCTCCCATTTATCATCATTTGCTGAATGTAACAATTCTTTCCACCTTATGTCCAAAGCATCCGCCTTGAAGATTATACCATCCAACACTATTACTTGTTTCTCGTTATCAGATTTTTGTCGTTTTAACCATTCCATCGTTCTCTCGTAACTCAGCCCTTCTGGACAATCCTTCCCTCGTAGTTCTATTGCCTTTTCAATAGCTTTTCCAACAGTGTTCCGAAGATACTGCAAATTTCTTGTAATGAGACAGAAAAGAGAACTTCCCTTTCTAGATTCGTTTACATTTATATTTCTTTTTTCGACCTCACTTTCAAGCTTTGTTGCAAGCTGATCTGAATAAAAAAATTAAATTTCTTCGCTTCTTTCGTGATTGGATAAAACTTACTCGCTCCTTTCTTGATTGAATCCTTAGGCCTCTGTTCGAATCCAGTCGACTGGACCGAATTTATCGCCGCTTTTCTTCAACCATGACAAAGACTTCTTCCCGCCTCCTTAATTGATAGTGCCCCAAACTTGAGTAATTAAACCTTTATCACGATAAATTTATTAATACAATAACGAACTTGCAATTACGACATCGGTGCGACAAATTAATGACGAAAACACTAAGAACAAAGAAAACCACACCACGCCCGACACCTTACATCCATCCGACCTCAATGAAACATATTTGTAAAATGAATTGGTACGCAGAACCCCCTGCTTCCTTGAGTGGGAGGATCTTTATACCGTTTTATAATTACAAGAGTTAGCATCCTTATTGAGCGCCCATTGGCAAAGGGTCCTTTGTTAGCGCAAACGTAAGACGATATGAGCATATACAGCAAAGATGTCTGGCTTTCAATAAAGGAATACCTTTGTTAAAAGCCAGACATCTATTCCTTTTTATATTTCTTTTTTTTATATTTTTTTGTGTTCCTTTTTTTATTATTTCTTTGTTTCTTCTACTCGCGGTATCAGCGACATTCATAAAATCTATTTATCCATATTTTTTTCTCTTTCATCACTAGAAAAAGACTATAAAATTCGTTCAGCAATATAATCCATGAATTATTCGTAACAAAATAAAATATAAATTTAATCCGAAGCAAAATATTTAATGATACCAGAGAAATGGAAAAATGGGACATATGTTGAGCAAGAAGACAATAACAATCACTGGATTGCTATTTTTTTTTTTGCATTTCCGTTTTGCAGATGGTAAACATAAAGACAAATTATATGTGATATTAAAACAACAAATTAGACAGAATTGACAAAGATAGTTTTATTTAACAAGATTTCTTCACGGTACTTTAATTTTGATTCAGCCCAAATTTTTTGTTCCAATTTTTTTTTTAATTTGAAATTCACCAATGAATTAATTCTTCGAGCAATTGATTGTTATGTTTCAGTGTCATTCCAAATGCAGCATTTATGCTTAATAATTCATTCGAATTATAAGGAATCTCTAATATTGCTTATCTATGATCTTTCAGTACGAAATATTTATAATAGCAATCTTTAATGGATCAAATCTTATAACTATATATATACATATATATATATATATATATATATATATATATATATATATATATATATATATATATATATATATATATA